CTGTCCATGATCACACTGCTCTCAGAAAGGCTTCGCTTCCTTGCCAAGCCAGGGGGTGAGGAAATAGAAATACCTTCCCACTGGAATCCTTCTAGGTTGGACAGATCTGGCTCTCCATCCAAATCTAAGACCTCTTGCTCATTGTGAACCAGGGGCACCATTTCAATCCCAAACCTTAGGGAAGAGGAGGGGGAAAAGGCATAACTCAGACATGATTAGAGTGGGTGGTATTTAATGTGCTCAGCACTATAGACACTAAAGTTGTAAAAATAAGTAAAAATGTTCCTGCCCATAAGGTGCTCACAGTCTAACAGAAATCTCTATATAAACTAACTAAACATATGATAAATATTTCAATGTCACAAGCACCAAACTAGAGAACTGTATACAGCTATGAAGATACCCTTAAAAGTAAACACTCTTTGTTTATTTCTTGTGGAACTCTAATCATATCATTTTACTAATAAACAATGCACAACTTAGGAAGCCACAAAGTAACAAAAAACTTTTGCTGAGCATTTTTAAGTGTCAAGCACTACACTAAGCTTACTTAAGTAAAACAAAATATAGGAAAGGACAAAATTATGCCATTATTTCAACAATGATAATATTAAAATGCAGCAGGATTATGATTTTCAAGCAACAAACCTATGCTTTACCATACAGCAAAAGTACTGCAGAAGTGCTTAAGATAAAGCATTTTATGCTCTTATATACAACACTCAAAGTGCAGAGTGCACAGAGAAATGTAACTATTCTAGTAATGAGAACTGTTAAACTTAAAACTTGCAACACTCATTTCAAAATTGAGATCTAGAAATAGTATGGATACTTTCTTAAGGCTAACAACTTCTAGTTCCTATATAATCAAGTGGTGTATTTCAGATTCTTTTCTTCTGTATCCCTATCATATTTCTCAGAAATAACCATGCTTCCTTTTAAACCTAAGTATCTTTTTAAAAACAGGTCATTGTAATTTACCATAGATTAGCAGTCACTCTTTATAGTTTTATGTATTTATACCAGATTTCTTCAATGCATGTTTTACAAACATTCCACTAAAAGTAACAAAAGAATTCTCTTGATCAGTGTCAGAGGGTAGCTTAAAAAAAGAAAGAATTAACAATATATACATACTTAAGGCAGCACACACCTGGGTAAGCCTTTGCCTAGTTCTTGCTTTTTCTTGGTTACATGCTGAATGACCTGTTCCCAGTTGACATTTCTCCGAGATGCATTTAGAATC